ACATAGTCTAGTTTACAATACGACCCTGTTATGCATATATGTACAGATTTAATAAGACAATTATTAAGTTTCTGGTGAAGAATATACTGAATATTATTTTTCCCTTTTTCGACATTCAATTCGAAATCTTTAATTAACAGATAGTGATGAGGAAGAGGCTCCGGAGCCAGACAAGAATGAGTTACAGAACATGCTCAAGACCCTCGCCTCGAAGCTTGAGGACATGAACACGTGTAACGATCTCATCTCCAAGCACGGCAGTGGCCTGCAGAGGGCGCTGACAGAGCTGGAGACTCTAAACAACACAGAGGACGCGGGCAGCAAGCTGAAGGTTGTCAACGAGCGAGCCACCATGTTTCGAATCACATCAAATGCCATGATCAATGTAAGCTGGTAAAAGATACCTTATGTGTGGTAAACAATTCTTTAATGTTGTATGCATTTGATTATTCTGAAAGGGAGATAATTCTTTATTGTTTGCTAGATTGAGTTGTACCTTCTGAAAAAAACGTAGCATTATTCTGAATTGGAATATTCAAAATAAAATATTGATATAGATTTAAACTTATCAAATAACTGAATATCGTTGAAAAATATGTTTTTTTTTCTGCTTTCAAGAGTTCTGTCATGGTTGAACATTTCTGTGCCAACAGTTTGTGTACTTTTTCAACATCGCGTCAAACAGGAAGATATCTTTGCCATCATTGACAACACTGCATGCCACAAAGTTTTTGCAGCTTGCAATGTTCACCATTTTTGCCCTCTGCAATGAATTCATCATGGAATTGAATATAACTTGTATGAAGCACACTACATTTGGGTATCACACTTAAAAAGGCAAAATTGACAGATTCACCGGTGAAGGGCAAAGGCAAAGGTTTTATTGGGCAAAAGTTCCCAGATAATACAGAAACTTCCTGAGGGGCTTCACTTTCAGTGGATGCTATAATTCTGCGACTTATCGTTGTTGCGAAGATGCAAATCTACTGCGTCGACCACAAGCCATACATAATTTAGTAATAGTATCATTGTCCTTTCTTTAATCTTATCGTACCCTCATGCAATTTCCAGGTAAATGCAGAGTGGTATTTTTGTAATGTATTATTTTTATGTTAATTTTTTTAATATTTTTTGCCCATTCTTTAATCAATTTTTGCAATAAAATGTGAATTGGGAAACCATACTAGACAGTGGGGAAGGGAGTCTCTGAAATATTGTCCTCCATATACTCATACAACGGTGAAAAGAGTCTTTCAGATTTTGTTCTGTGTACTACACAATTGGGGAAGACAGTAGTCAGAATGAAAATCTCATCCAGTATACTAGGCAGTAGTAGATGTTAGTAAAGGGCTGATGATCAATTATAATCGAAAACCAATCGGTTTTCCCTTTCCGATTCCGACAATTGATTACAAAATCCATTATCAATATAATCAGTTCATCATTAAAATCAAAGTATTTAAATGTCTTCTATGTAAAGCATGCTTTGAAAATCATATATTCTTATATAATTTATACTAAATGATCGATAAAAATGTATTGAAGTTGCTTGATAACCGGTTAATTAACCATTAATTATAATAGAACGAAACCTAATGTGTAGTGAATGACTCGGTTTATTCATGTTATAGACATAGTGCTCTCACTTTATTTGGGTATTCAGCACCAAAATACTATAAACCGATTATATGCAATTGATCAGTTTACAACTTCCGATTACAAACTGATTATCGATTATGATTTTAAACAGATTGCCCATCACTAGTAGAGGTACCTAAGGAGTAGAAAGGATCCTGATCAAATATGACGTAAAATCAATGTCTTATGAAGCATCGTTTTATAACAGGCTTGTTCAGAATACCTAGAATCAGCTCAAGGACAGGTGAAGCGCCTACAAAAGATTGTACACTTTGAGCAGGAACAGAGGATGAAGCTGGAAGAAATGGTGGAACAACTGGCTAAGGATCAAGTTTCGCTGGAAACTCAGGCCAAACGATCAATGCACGCAAACGCCTCGGACAATAAGGATAAGGGTGAGGATTTCAATACGGAATGCAGGGCTATTTTTCGTTACTTCAGGAATTGGGCCTGTTGCTTTGAAAATAAGAAAATTTGTCTCGATAATCGAAATAGGGACTTTGTTGATCAGGTGTTAATCATAAAGTACAGGCTTCTTATGCCGAAATTCCAACAAGTGAAAGCTTAATTGTTTCCTATTACCAACTTTTGCAAACATCAATTTGAGTTTGTAAAAATATATGTTTATGGAAGGAATGTTAAGGTGTCGTTACATATTATTTTTAGAATATCTGCCTTCACTATGATACATGCACACCTACATGTAAAA